TACAATGTATTTTTTTCTGAACGTGGGAGAGGGATGTGAATTAGTTCTTCACTCGAATTGTCTACAAATCACTGGCGGTTGAAAACTAATGATTATTGAGAAGATGATTGTGTATTAAAATAAACAGGTTGACAGATAAGTGAATAAATAAACAAATAAATAGATAAATAATTAGATGACTAAATAAATAGACAGGGAAATGGCTTACCTTAGTCCCCAGAACAGGGAACATAGCGGATTTAGACATATCTTTGTCTACGGGGGCATCGTCGATAATACTGTTCCCCTGAATGTGTATGTAAAAAGTCGTTCACGACGGTATCCAGTAGAAACCAGTATTACTCACACTGAGAGGGATGAGACTGCGTTTTTCGAATACGAATGGTTGAGCTCGTCCAATACGTACAAGATCACCGTTATGCAGCTCGACCTGTAGATACATAATGTCAATTTAAAAGCAATTAACGTTGAATATTTCTAATTCTTTTTTTTTTTTGAATATAGGTCCCTTGCAGGCTACCGTACCGCAGAATCCATTACAGAAAAAGGCCTTTAATTTCATTTGAGACTCTTAGATATTCACCTCAATTTCATTCAAGTGTGGGTGAGTTTATTTTTCATTTCATAACAGTGGGACTTCCAAAAAATCGGAAACTGCAGCTCACTACTGTATTGGAAGCTTACATAACTGCCTCAGGTCTATTTTACTGTTACATTATTTTTCTGTGGTTTTCAGCTTGAAAATTTGGGAAAAGCTCGAGAATTACCTCTCCGTGGACGTAATGTCCGTTTACAGTCGTCCGGCCAGCTAGTGAATGATCCTTCAACCAGAACGTACCCGATGACGGATTTTGTTCAATGGATGCATGCACCGGATGAACTCCTTTGGCCTGTAAATAGAGCGGGACTTTGTTTTACCATCAACAACTGCAGAGTTGCATTTAATTATAAAGAAAATGCAATTATGTGTAATTTTGAACCATTGAGAAGGCTGTACTGGAGCTATAACCCATCTCCTGCACCTGCCCACATCTCTCTCAGGACATTGCGCAAAC